CGAGGGCGCTGGGGCGGGCTGCTGCTCTGCATCCCCGTGGCTGGACGCGTGGGTGCTTGGTGGCAGCGCTGGGGACGGGAGATCCCGGAGCGGGGCCGCTGGCCTGCGGGTGGCCAGGGATGACGCTGGCTCTCAGCCTTGTGGGGTTGAGGTGTGGGGCCCCAGCGGGCAGAGCGCCCTGGGGTGGGGTTTGCTGCGCTGGCTCTGCTCAGAGCAACAGCCCAAAGGCAGGAGCCACCTCCCGCCAGGCAGCTGGGGCTCCCCTGGGACGAGAGGGGAGCACGGGTTGTGTGAGGGTGCCCGAGAGCCCTCCAGGTAGGGTGGGCTCCGGCACGGGTACCGGTACCATGCCAGCTGGAGACAGCACTGGGATGCAGGGCTGACGCGGATCCTTGCCAGGCATCCAGGCTTGTTCCTGCTCCTGGGGACGCCATCCCCTTCCCACCCACACCAGGACAGTGGAAGGCAGAGTGTGCCCAGGGGGTGGTGATGAGAACCCCCCCTCCTGCTTCCATGCCCAGCAGGAGCAGGGTCTTGTCAGCCTCAGGGAGTCAGCGAGGGGGCTGTGCTGACCTGTCACGTCTGCGAGGTTTTGGCCAGGTGCCTGAGATGCTCCCACTGCAGGGGCTGTGCGACTTCAAGGAGGCTTTCTTGAGAGGCCCACAGAGCTGTGGACATGCCACCACACCAGGGCAGGGCACTCTCCACCTTCATCATGGCCACTCTTAGACCTTTTCCAGCTCTTCTGGAGAAGGCAGTGCCCAGGACTGAGCCCACCCCAGGCTGAAGGACATGGTGGGCCTGGGACAGGCAGAGGGGCAGCTCTGCTGTCCCTGGGGACAAGTAGGTCAGGTCTGACAAGTGACACACGCTCATAGCAGCCCGTGGCCCTAGTGCTGAGGCCCTCTCATGGAGTGTCAGCATCCGGTGTCAATGTTCTCCTTGAATCACTGGTGGGCTCAAATGGGACACATAGCTCCTCAAGCAGCATGGGGCAGCCGTGGGCATACCGCACTGTCCAAGCAGAGCAGGAGCATCCATCAGCTGCCCCAGAGGTGATGCCACCATCCTGCCCGCCCAACAGCGAACTGGGTGTCTTGCCCAGCTGCCTGAGAGTACCTGGGTGTCCTGCTCCCCATGGAACAAGTGTCCCGGGGCCAGAATGCATTGCCCAAGGCAACACGGGCAGGGGACACCCGAGGGGGTGTGCAGAGCCAGCCACGTGGTTCGTTAATGACTACCTAATGACCTTGGGGGGGCCACAAGGGGGAGTGGGGCCTCCTGGACGCCTGGCTCCCCCCGTAACATCTGCTGGACCTTGCTCTTTGCCCTGGTCCTCCTCCTGGACCCTGGCCCACTGGGGCCAGTATAAAAGAGGTGTGGAGGAGTGGGAGGGATCCCGGAGACCCCGAGGCCATAAGGGAAACTGAGGCACACATGCAGGTGCGGGTGAGGGATGCATAGGGGACCAGAATGTCTGCGGGAGGGGACCATGAGGAACCCAAGCATCCAGTGGAGGAGGGAGGATATGTAGAGGATCCAGGTGGTGGGACGGGGGGTGGATCTATAGGGGACCCGGGGGTCCAAAGGAGGTGTTCCATAGCGGAACACCAGGCTTCTGGGGGGTGCAGAACTGTAGGGGACGCAGGCGTCCACGGGGTGTTCTGTAGGGGACCCAGGCGTCCAGGAGGGATCCACAGATGACCCAGGTGTCTGGGGGTGGGGGGGGTTGGTGTCCCCATGCATTTAGAGGGATTTGTGAGGGACTCGGGTGTCTGGGAGAGGGAATTTGTAGAGGAATCGAGCGTCCAGGGTGGGGTTTCCAGTCTGCAGATGGCCCCCTCTTTCCACAGGCGCCCATGGCGGGCTGGGCTCTGTGCATGGCCCTGATGCTGGCAGCGCTGGCAGGGGCGGTGGGCGAGAGCCGCTACCAGAAGTTCCTGCGGCAGCACGTGGTCGAGCCCCAGACGTCCGAGCTCGCTGAGCACCGCTACTGCGAGATGATGCTGGCGGGCCGGGCGGGGGCGCG